CCCAAGAGTACGACCCCCCCATGACCAGCCCGACAGGTACGACCCCCCTGTCGAGGATTTCCTCGACCGATATTCACCCTGCACAGAAGTGGAGAGACGATAAATACACTGACCTACAAAGACCTATCAAACTATGAAGAATTCAGCTCACTCAGGCCTCTCGACTTCATTCAGAATCGTATGAGCCTTACCTTCCGATTCGGTGCCCTTCGTTGATCTATCAAATTCACAAGTCGTTTTTGGACGATATGGCGAGAACAGTACTTAATAAACTCGCGAGAACAACACAAAGTAAGCATATGCAAAGGTCGTATTTATCCCCACAACCAAGAAAAGGAAGCATTGGTTTTAATTACTGGTTCCGTACAGAAAAGAAATGAGTGGAGCACGCATGACCAACGTCAAACCATCTCAAGACTGAGTAATCAATGAAGTACAACTACTCACTTCAGCGAGCAAATGAATAAAACAGGAGAAGAATAAAAAGGCCCATAAACCAAATAATCCCAGTGGAAATTAACGTTGATCACAACAACACTGAAAAATACCGAAAACGGCGAAAATAGCAAGCGGAAGTCATTCCTACAATTTGAGACCGCGCATATAGCGCTGGTAAACCTACAACACTAACACTTAGCACCTACAACAAACAAGTTGCATTCAAACTAGACATGGCAACCCAACCACACAAAAACATACAAAATCACATCATAGAACGAACTGGCAAACCCCTATTGCAAAACTCAGCAAAAAAAGCGAATCAAAAAAGAAGAAATTTCAATTCAAAGCAAAAGACATAGACAGACAGCAAAGAAATTCGAATTTTGGTGCATGGGCCATGACTGCACCAGAAACTCGGAAAGACTGCATATCGCACCTTTACCGTAGTTGCAAATTGGCATCAAAATCGACTAGTATGATAAAAGATTTCAGAGCTTCGCGCCACTATTTCATGGTGCGTCGGCTTCAAACAAGGACCCGACAATAAGAGACGACAGATACGATTTTTCCAAGAAAAATCGGAGAGTTCAGGAGTCTGCTCTTCCTTTACTTGGAAATGACGGGGTTACTCAACCGAAGTCACAAAAATGTTGCTGACGCGACAGTGCAACATAGTGAACCAATTTTTGCGGAAATCTCGGCGAGATACAGTCAGATCAAAGCCTACAAACCCTTGCTGAACTGGATGCAGAATTGAATGAATCAACGGCACTGGTATCCGAAACGCTACGTGTCTTCACAGATGCTGTGGACCATTAACCATAAGCCGTACCGTTAACCCATTCGCGACCGCGCAGGATTGCGCAATAGCAGCAGCGTCAGGAGATTTTTCTTCAATAAAATTCGAGTGGAGGGAGATTTCCTCTGCCCAGGCTGGCGTAGATGAGCGAGGGTATGAAGATTCTTTTCATGAAAGAAACTTTCCTCAATATTCCAATTACATCACTGAGCACAGTGATGACATCGTCGAGACGAGACTTCAGCACCGTGGCTAACATTGTCACGAATGTTAAACTATAACGAATCTCACGATAAGAACGAAGGTCAAGAATGGGATGCCTACGAATAGACGAAACTTCTGAGCGGTCTGCCGCACCGACCGCGCCACATTGATCGCAAATCTGAACGTTGATCCTATAATCGTGAAACTATGCGCGTTGGCGGCATGCCCACCGACCTAATCTATATACATTCGCGCCTCACTGCTATACCTGCGATTTTTATGGCGATCTCGGCAGGCCGGTGCTGTCCCGCCCACCAGTGCTCATCAGCCTCGGCAATAGCAGAGAGAGCGTCCTATTGAGAGAAAATCGTCGGTGAAAGCCCGCGTGCCTGCTTCCTCAAGGATATCCAAAGAGACAAGGAACGCTGCCTGACCGAGATCATCTAAGAAAACTGTCGGATCTTCTGAAGAGCGATCGCCGGCATCCTCCCTTACTATAAAGCGCTTCGTCTGTCGTGTGTCGTGTGTCGTTCTGTATGTCTGTCACGAAATTCCCTAGCTCCTCGGGATCCACCTGGAGGGACCGGGTCAAGTGTGGGATGGGTGGGCAGGGTCTCACGTAATACAAAACACACATCAGCTAAGCGGAGCCCCGCCCACAGAGGGCGTGGCGTGCGTCGAAATGAATTGTACCCGAAGACCAAGATTTCGATTTCAGTGACAAAACGACCTCGAAACTGGGCCAAAAAGTGGGTTAAGGTGTGCATTGGTAAGTCACATCGAATCGAATTAGGGAGACCCACCCCCGGTGGGCGGGGCGTTCTCCAAAAAAGCAGTGCTTTATGAAAAATCTCATAACTCGGTTGGGAGAACGCCTACAGCGCAGAAAACAATTTTGTGTAAAGGAGCAATGTCTAAAGTGTTTCCTGCATACATGACGTGGGCGGAGGCCCGCCCAGAATGGGCGCGGGCGCGCTCTGAAGTGTACAGCATTTTCTACAAGCCCTCATAATTCGGGTCGGGGAAGTCTTAAAGAGCCGGAAAAAGGTGGATAGAGGTGTATGGAGGAGTGGAGGCCAGCTGTCATGGTGGGCGGGGGCTTGACCAAAGTGGGCGGAGTTTGCGACGAAAATTCCGTCCCCCCTCCATCAACTCGGCTCCATGAAGCTCCGGAGGCTGGGGAAAAGGTGGATAGAGGTGGGTGGAGGAGTGGAGGTTAATTGTCATTGGTGGGCGGGGCCTGACCAAAGTGGGCGGAGTTTGCGACGAAAATATATAACTCGGCTCCAATGAAGTCCCGGAGGCCGGGAAAAGGTGGTATTGAGGTGGGTGGAGGAGTGGAGGTAACTGTCATCGGTGGGCGGGGCTTGACCAAAGTGGGCGGAGTTTGCGACGAAAATTCATAACTCGGCTCCATGAAGCTCCGGAGGCTGGGGAAAAAGGTGGATTGAGGTGGCGTGGAGGAGTGGAGGTTAACTGTCATCGGTGGGGAACGGCTTACCAAAAGTGGGCGGAGTTTGTGACGGCGAAAATTCATAACTCGGCTCCATGAAGCTCCGGAAGGCCGGGAAAAAGGTGGATTGAAGGTGGGTGGGAGGAGTGGAGGTTAACTGTCATCTGGTGGGCGGGCTTGACCAAAGTGGGCGGAGTTTGCGACGAAAATTCATAACTCGGCTCCATTGAACTCCAGGAAAGAAAGCTCCGAAGGCGAAAGGAGATTGAGGTGTAGAGAGGAAGGTAACATGTCATCGTGAACGGCGCTTGACCAAAGCGCGATTGCGCGAGACCCGTGAAATCATAAACCGGCTCTCATGAAGCTCCGCAAGCCGGACAAAGTGCTTGAGGTGCGGTGAGGAGTGAAGTTTAACCTGTCATCCGGAACGGGCTGAAACAAAGTGCGAGTTTGCGACGAACTCATCTCACTCTGGGCTCCATGAAGCTCCGGAGGCCTGGGGAAAAGGTGGATAGAGGTGGGTGGAGGAGTGGAGGTTAACTGTCATTGGTGGGCGGGGCCTTGACCAAAGTGGGCGGAGTTTGCGACGAAAATTCATAACTCGGCTCCATGAAGCTCCGGAGGCTGGGAAAAAGGTGGATAGAGGTGGGTGGAGGAGTGGAGGTTAACTGTCATCGGTGGGCGGGGCTTGACCAAAGTGGGCGGAGTTTGCGACGAAAATTCATAAAACTCGGCTCCAATGAAGCTCCGGAGGCCGGGAAAAAGGTGGATTGAGGTGGGTGGAGGAGTGGAGGTTAACTGTCATCGGTGGCGGCTTGGCCAAAGAAGAAAAGGTAAGTGAGGCAGCACAGTCTGCACGAAAACACCTATAAACTCGGCTCCAACAAGTCCCGGAGGCCGGGAGAAAGGGAGTAGAGGCCGGCAAAGGAAAGGAGGTCAACTGCTATTAGTGGGCGGAGCATGCACATAATTGGGCGGAGTTTGCCAAAAGTGTCGTAATTTGGTTCCAAGAGGTCCCAGAGACCGGTGAAAAAAGGGGTAGAGGTCGGCGAAAGGAAGGGGGCCAAATGCTATTGGTGGGCGGGGCACGCACCGAAGTAGGCGGAGTTTGCCACGAGATTTATTGTCCGGAAGCAGTCCGGAGACCGAGAAAAAAGAGGATAATGGTTGACGAAGAAAAAAAGGTTGAAAGCCGTCGATGATGGAGCGGATTGAATTTAGCTGAGGATTCAGATATTCGTAGTGTATCAAGCCAAATATGAAAATTTTTGTCGCACCATCAAAGTTCGCAGCAGATCTGTGTTGCGCGCGCAATGCGTGCGGCGCCAACTGGTCCCTTTGATATAAAAGCCATAGACCTGAAGAATAATTTATAAATCAACTGAACGCTCCCATTTGTCTTCTCTCTCTAAACCCTCGCATCACAGCGCCTCCAACATCAAGGAACCTGCCGATTGACGTGCAATTCGTAACTCATAGCACAATAAACAAATTTGGTTGAATGTACCGGTGCTATCAACGTGGCATAGCATATAGTTACCCTAAGAAAATTCCGTAGATAAATCTTTCGTACAAGGAAATCCTATCCAGCGAAATAGTCAGTCCGTGTTCATCGTTCTAGCGTAATTTCTAGCATAAAACTCCCTTCGAAAAGCATTGTGCAACAAGTGCATTGCTAACAAAACACCGTAAATTTTCTGCAAAAACGAAAAGCAATTGAGAGATAATCACCACTGTGAGAACAGTTAAATCGGCACTAATTGCGTTCCTAACCACTAATTAAATCCTGTGCGAAATTCTGGGTTGCGCGTCGTCATGGCGCCCAGCAGACACGAGTCATTGACGTCGCTGCCTGCAAATTCACGATTAGTTGGCTTCTCCTTGCGTATTATAAATTGTCTACTTTCAATTCCCTTCCCCAATTATTACCTATCTTCTCTATCTTCTACTATTTCTCCTTTTCATTGCTATTTAATCCTTGGAAGTGTGAGCCTATCACAAAGCATCATTCCTTCAAAGATATACCAATTAGAATCTCACAAGAACTATGTGGATCCTCTGACATTGCTTTGCTACAGCATCGTCGCCTGCAAATCGCTTTCAATGACACAGGAGAAGGCGTTTCTGTTGCTGATCAACGGCCACATTGAATCTGCAGAGGTATGGTGGTGCTCCAACTTCGATACCTATTGTTTCATATGCCTGCATCTGTAACCAATTCATACCTTGAAGTAAAGAAATATCAGTGAGCTAGTATGATCGGTCATGAATCTAACCTCCTTCTACGAGGAGAATACTCTTATTAAAAATGGCGCTCTAAATTAAAATGCTTTCATCTAGCTAACACAACTGCCGAATGTATTGCTGTTCGAAGTTTCCCGTCGCAATTATTGACCTCAATCAAAAAAGGCCCATATCGATTAAAAACGAAACATTTTTTACCATCAATAAAAACTATGCCATCACCATACTTGCCCCAAAAAGAAGGTTACTAAGTTTGACATTAGAAGTGCGAGCTCTGTGCTAGCTTTGCGAAAAGGTCCGTTCACATTACGCTTGGTTCAACAATCATCCCCTTCTGAAAAGACTACCCAAAGGGCTCGCAAAAGTGCGCCATCGCTAGGCAATAGGTACCCCTTCAAAAAATATTCTTGCCATAATTTTAGCCCGCCTATTCCCACTTGATCTCCGCTGAAAGTGCCGAGTTGAGTGGCGCATGTGTGTGGAAAAGAAGGTCGCGGCACTTGTCGACTTCCTCGGACGTTCTTTGGATACCTGTATATTTGGAAGTCCCATCTCAGTTATGCCCAATTAGAGAGCGCCTGTTCAAAAGCTCCATGCAAATTTGGTTGATCAAAACCCTCAGTTGATCGTCTGTTGTCAGTCTCCGATATCCGACCTTCACCCTAATCTTAAAAGCTTTCATTGTCGCGAGAATGACATTTTGAATCACGACTGCACAGCGTATTTTTTGTGGAATTCGGGACCAAATGCTCAGTTGATATCCAACTTGCTTCCGCACTTTTCCGACCAAATTTGAGAGGAAAAGAAACTCGTACAAACAGCCTGTTGAGTATGTTGTATTCAAGACTTCAAAGAAAAGGAGAAAAGCGTTTCAGGGTAAAAGTAACAGTAGACTTAGACAGAAAGAGAAACGCGCTTTCTATTGATACATAAATTGGTTCCAGGAAAGTCGAGCTTCTGCTGATAGCTCATTTTTAGGTGCTTGAGTAGAAATAATTGTTTTTTTGTGTCCTTGTAAATATGTTTCCATCCACTCTGGTATCCTTGTGGTTGTGATAGCGCCCCTTTTGTGCGCAGTGAATGAATAAAATCAGTATGGGCTTTCCTTCACCATTGTGCGCACAGGAAACCATTGCAGGGATGATTTGAGGAAGAAATGCGTTTGCATTTGGAAGAATTTGAGTTTTCCCTGAATGAAATGTTTTTCAGCAGGGTAAAAGTTTGAACCACAGGACTGAGGTGCAATAAGAACTTCCCTGTTCATATCACAATCGGTTTCTTAGATTTGTCCTTGACAACACACATAAAGTATTAATTTTGTAAATCAATCTACTGTGTAGCTCAGAATTCAAAAAATACTAAAGGAATCTTTTGAACAGGCCCCTCTCTCCTATTTGTCTTTTAAAAGTTGGTTAAAGGCAAGAATCAGGATTAAATTGATGGGTGATTCCACTCAAATGTGAAAGTAGGGATGGGAGGTGGACCGCCAGTGGAGAAAAAAGGAAAGAAAATCCTGAAATACACAGGAAATACGAGCATTTTGCTCTATGCTGTGGAGAAGTTCAAAAGACAGGCAGGGAGATGAGAGATAATGTGAGCGCAGAGA